ATGTGTGTGTGTGTTGGTTAATTATTTCTTAAATTGCAGAAAAAAGAAACGTCAAAGGTTCTTTGTTAGAAAGTATTATAGACTTGCAGCACGGATCAGTGTTGAAAAGATTCGAAACAATAGTGGATGTTCTTATTTGTTAATATCATGGAAATTACTAGCTTAATATGGAAATCATGTTCAAGAAAAATAAATAAATTTTACTATCTTCTTTTCCCTCTTTCGGCTTTCTGTCTGAAGGATTTCATATATTATCACCATAAATGTTTCTCTTTCTTCTCTTATATTTTCCCTAATATCACTGAGGCAACTCGGTGACCTGATTTGAACAACAGAAAATAGTAATGCATTGTATTTCAATCTGTGATTATTTTTAATCATCAATTTTCACAAGATATTGATTTTCAGCAAACAAATGTGGCTGTTAGCTGTAATGTGTCTCGCCAGCGCAAACTTTGATCTTATAGGCATGCCTCACAGACCCACGGGAAAATTGTTGCAAGACACCGTCCAACTAAAGGAACTGGGAAGTCCGCCTGCTTTGGACACCGTGTCCAGCGAAGAGGGAACTCAGCGGTCATCATCCCAGTCTCAGTCAACGAACCACTATCCAGGTGGTCAGTCTGTGTATAGCCATCGGCCAGGTAGAGATGTGAGCTTGGCTTTATATTGGTGCAATTTAAAATATATATACACGTGTAGCAAAGTAACAGAAAGTTGGAAATACAATGACACTCTCTGGTAAAAGAGTATAATTCCTTGTTTTGTTAAATAACGTAACATCAGACAAGAGCAAGATGCTAACTGGTAAGTATCCTATACACTGAGTGGTCACAAGTAAATAGACACCTAATTTTTCATCATTTAACTGATTTATGCCAACTAATTTGTGTTCACAGAGCACTATATAAATGAAAATGGTCCGCACACTAATTATCTTGTGCTACAACATGCCTAGAACTCAAGGTTCTCTCGAATTGTCAGATTTTGTTAGAGGAAGAATAGTTGGTCAAGCAGATGGTGGAATAGGTCAGCGGCAAATTTCTCAGAATTTGGGAATTCCGCTTTCGACAGTCAACAGAATCATCGGGCAGTTCAGGAAACACGGCAAGGAAACAACTGAGCAGCGTCCGGGTCGTCCTGGTCCATCGGAGTAGACAAAAAGGGCTGTCAAGAGGAGCATCGAAATGGATCCCAGATTAACGACTGCAGAATTGGCCAAAGCTGGTGGGATGAGCCCGAAATCTGTTCAACGGATTCTCCACAGATTGGGTTATCGTTGCAGAGCAGCTAGACGGAAGCCCTTATTAAGACCTGCCAACATAGTCAGACGAAAGAAGTGGGCAAGTGATATGATGACAAAGCCTCTGGACTTTTGGAAGACCGTATTGTTCTCAGACGAATCAAGATTTGCTCAATTTTCGGACAGTGGAAGGATATGGGTCTGAAGAATGCCTCACCAAGAGTTTTGGCTCAACAGATTGCAGCCAACAGCATGGTGGTTTCAGCGTGATGGTTTGGGAAGCTGTTCGGG